AAGAGTACAAAATTCAAGGATTAAATTGCTAAATTTGAAACACATGGCTACTTTGGCAAATAGGAAGTACCATACCAATAAATATATGATGCATATCATTCATAACCTCATATCCGATGAATCTTTTCTGGACAGGAATTGGTTGGCAACCGCTCCTTCTAAATGCAATCATGGGACGAGAGAAGATGCCTCTACGACAATACTTGGGTTCAGGGTTTAGGGCCTAAACCAATATCTTGGTCATATATCAAACGGACACCACACTTCTTCACCTCCAAGCTAGAGCCTAAGGTTTTAAATAAAAACTCAAGCCGACGACAGCTGTATTGCCATGCAGTTCCAAAATGTTCACAGCCTACAAAGGATAGCCAAATGTGATCTGACTCAATTTGGCCTAATTCTTGGCTGCAGCCAAAGAAAGGACACCAGCCGCCTGAACCCAAATTGTTGGGGCTCACTTCACAACGAAGGCCATGTTCAGTGCTATCGGTCTCTTTCTCAAACTTCCATTTACCAAGCAGGTTACCCGCAGGTATACGTCGACCGAGACCAAAAACAGCACACAAAGCATATCCTCTCCAATTATTCATATACCAGTCCTCAGGTAGGTCCATGCTTACTCCAGACCTCGCACTTCGATCAATGAACCACCCAGAAATTTCACTGCAAGGAATTATAGTTTCAAACCTGTTTCCTGGATAAGGGATTCCCTGCACCAAAGAAAACCGTGAAGTGAACAACTGGTCATATGTGTGTGTGTGTGTGTGTGTGTGTGAGAGAGAGAGAGAGAGAGAACTGTGAAGTAAACAACTGGTCATGTGTGTGTGTGTGTGTGTGTGTGTGTGCGAGAGAGAGAGAGAGAGGGCACCTGAATAAATCTCCTTAGCAGTGCAATTGCTATATTGTTGCAGTCTTGATTTTTAACCAATTCGAAGCAATTAATATAATTGAAACACGATGACAGCCTTTCCAGTGAATTACTCCCTTCCGAGCCAACACCCAAGTTCACTTTTGGTGAAAGGTCCGGCATTTGCTGAAGAAGCTTACAACATTCCAAATTCAAGTTGTGAAGCTTAGAAAGCTGACTTATGCTTTTGGGAAGACTAAGAAAATTGTTTTTACTTAGATTTAGAGATACTAACGAGAATAGGCAGCCAAGATTTTCCGTTATTGTTCCCTCCTGAAGATTACAGTCACTGAGGTTCAGTTCTGTTAAAGAAGACAAACCAGAAGTAGAAATTGGAAACTGCAAACCCACTAAACGTGTCCGGTTTCTGGGCATCGATTGATAGTTGAGGGGATTATTTTCTGACTCATGTGGAAAGTCTTATTTGATACTTGAATAATTTTTGCTCCAATAGACTTTTCAATTTAATTAATGTAATATCATGGAAAAAAATGAAAACATATAAAAAATGTCTATATATTTATTATATGAAAATAAAAAATGCATGTTTTTAACATTTTCAAGGTAGGTTTTGTTTTTCCAAAGTAAAATTAAATGTTTGAAAAGCTAGAGTCAACTTACCAGTCCTGAAAAGAGACAAGATGGTTGCAGCTTTAATACCTAAGGTTGAAGAAGCTGTTGGAGATGCTCTAAGGGTTTGATTAAAAAGATGATAATATACATTGTTGGTTATCATATTTTGCCTCGATTTTGTTTTTCATTACTGCATTTTATTTTTCTCAAGGCTAAATTGGTGATTTGTTCCTTGAACTTGTACCTAATTTTCAATTGATCCCTATCCTTTTTTTAAATTAAGGATATTAAATGTTCCCCCGTTGTCTAAAAAACAACACGTATTTATTTTCTTTTTCTTTTTTTCCCTCAAGTCTTTTAACCTAACTTTTTGGCTGGTTTTAAATGAAGCTTCCCCAACCTGACACTACAAAGCCACCGCATGCGCAGTCACCCACTGCCACCCTTGTTCCAAATCCACCCTCATCACCAACCTCGCCATTGAACCGATAAGGACGAGCAAGCAGCCCACCAAATTTCTTTTTTCTTCTCTCTCTCTCTCTCTCTCTCTCTCTCTCTCTCTTCACGTCGGAAACAGTGGAGATCGGCGACTTTCTACCCTCCAAATCTGAGGTGAGCGAAGGCGAGGATTCGAGGTTTCGACGGTGACTTTACTAGTCTTCATTTCTTTGTCTCTCTCCTCCCCCACTTCGTCGAAATCTGGTATTCAAATCCGCCAATAAAATTTATGCTCTGGTTGCAAATCAAAAACCAAAAATTGAAAGCACATGATGATTTCAATCCAGGGTCTTGGGCTCCAAAATTGGCTGGAGGTTTACATGCGGAGGTTTGAGTAAAATTGTCCATAATGCTTGGTTAAAAGCGTTGAAAGAAAGGGGAAAAAAAGAATAAGAAAGGAAACACAAGTTGTTTTTTAAGGAGCCCACATCATAGTTGAGGAGGAATGACTCCTAATATGTCAGAAGCCAAGCATTGTTAGGTACAAATTTAGGGGGCAAATCATCAGTGGGAAAAGTTGAAGGGAACATTTTGCATCTCATGGTTTGGAATGAATTTAGCCATAACATATAACACATAAATATTCATAATGGTGGATTGATTATGCTTATTCTAGTTAAGTTAAGCCTTTTTTTCATTTTAACCCAAAAATCTTATGATCTAGTCTCTTTGAGCACACAATAGAAAAGAGAAGAAAGGTTAAACTTTTACCCTTGTAGACTTTTTTTGGAGAACCAAGAATGATCACCTTGTTGGAAAGGCCTTCAATCTCCTCTTAGCATATAGATTCCTCAACCAAGAGGCTCCAAAGGAAAAGGCATCTACCTCATCACACCAAAATGGACAAGAGATGGAGAGAAGATCAACCAAGAGGCCTTAGATGCTAGACTACGTCTTAGTGTGGCTTTATAGCCAACAAAATATGGTGAGAAATTCCCAATAGGGAATTTCGGCCCTATCTCTTCTTGGGCTACTCTTGGGCTTATTTAGCTTGTGTTGTCATACAACACATGTTCTTAAGCCCAATGGGTCCTTGAGCTATTTTGTCATTTGGCCCAAAATGCCTTTAAAGCCTAAATTGAGTCCAACCGTCAAACTAACTTCACAATTAACATTTTAATTGTGATTTGTGACTTAACCATTACGTCATATCCTTAGTCCAACTATTTTGACTTGGTAATCCGTTTTGGTCAAATATGTTGACTTTGACTTTGATCGTTGACTTTTAACGTCTTATCCTCTTCATTTGTTTCTCAAGTTTCCTCTTCTCTTCATTTGTTTCTCTAATCACATTTCTCAGTGTGCGATCCATAAATTCCTTTTAGCAAGATAGTGAATTGACTCAACTTCTCTGAGTTAACTTGTGAATTAAATCTCACTATTTAATTCTTCCTATTAGTGAAGGTCAATTATGATTGAACCTTTCAGGACTTCCACAAACCATGATTGATGCCTAGCAACATGTCATTGTTATCTGAGCTAAATAAGGGGTAGGGAAGAACCTATTCAAATTGGAATGACCATGCAATTGAATCTTTCTCTTGTACAATATTTCTTATTCATAATATTAGATAATGCAATATAATGTCAAATATCCTAATGTGAATTATTACTTTATATGATTATTCTGGTAAGATTTGAAGACCTCTTCTTTCAAATCTTATACATTACTCTGTGCAGAGATTTGATCAATCATATCCTTAGAGTATTCTCTCTCCTTATTGAGAGTAGAGATTTCTTGTTGTACATTCATTTGCCTCCATGACTTTATTGAGAGTCCTGATAAACATATTTAGGTCATGTCTTCTACAACACAACTGTATAGTGCCCTCAAAGCCAAATAATATAGCCACAAGACATCTATGATATCTCATGTCTAAGGATTAGTTTGCACCATTGCAATCTATGAGTTCTAGTGTGAAATGTGAGTAGATACTTCCATTCTAGAACTTATGTATTTGATCGCTTCAATGTACTTGTTCTCCTGCAAGTACCAACACACAGTGGCGGAGCCAGGATTGTTACTCCAAGGGGTCTTAGTGTAAAAGTTCGGATATTTTTTTAAAGATGAAAATAACACACTAAAAGATAATTTTCTATTACTTTCCTCTTGTTGTTCTATAATTCTACACATGAATTAATCAAACCAAACAGTCAATCAATTTTTTAAAAGAAACAAATTTTATTAAGACAAATAAATAAACAGAGAGATGACAAAAAGTCCTGTTGAGGCCCAAAATGTTACAAGAAGCCCAAAGATAATTCAAGCCCAATATAACATGTAAAGTTGGTCATGCATTAATTACAGTTGTATTTCGGGAATTAATTCATTTAATAAATATAGAAATAGTGTACATGCCATGCCAAGCAAATAATACATTTTCTTATGCTAAATCACCCGACAAGCTTAAGTGGGCCCAAGCCACATACATTCCTGGGGCTTGCTGAGCGGGTTGTGGTGTGGATGGTTACAAGGATCCATGAGGCCCATTAAAGGTTCAAAAGAATGGAGGTTTTGGGCTGCTTGGGAGCCCCAAAACCCAAGCCCATTTTCTTGAGCCCATTGAATGGGTAAGCAGAGAGAACACAGCCAACCTTCCAGCATTAAAGCCAAAGCTATCACGCGTTTTCCTCGAGCACTTAACCTACCAGCATTAAAGCCCATCTCTCACCGTCTCAACAATCCCTATTAAAAGCCTTAGACCAACGACTGCTCCTCCAACGCCGATAAAAGGAGGCCTTAACCAAGAAATCGGGGGAGCCGGCATGAGCAAGCATATTCTCATTGCTGCCGGAAAGCACCTAGCCTTAGCCATTCCAAACCCAGAAACAAGCCTTACCATGCTTCAACAGCATTCAAGTATCAAAATCCTTAAACACACAAAACCCAAGCCTTCCTCCATCATGCTTCTCTTCTTTTATAAACCACTCCAAGATATAAAACATCATCCAAAAAACTATCTCAAGCCATCCCAAAACCAACCAACATAGAACAAGCACCGCTGGAAAACACTCAAGCTTAACCCAGAAACTATCATCTTCTTCTCCCAGCAACTAGAAACCATTTCAAGCCCTAAAATGTCTTTTATCCAGCATCCCATTTCAACTCAAGCAAACGCTCTCTCTTGCTAAACTCATGGAGACTTAGCTCCCACACCACAAGCCTCTCATGCCAAGCTCTTCCATTTTAATTCATCGAAACATGCTCTCATGCTAAGCTTGTATATTCTCTGTACAACATGAACTCTTTTCGGAGCCATCTCACACCATTCCATCAGCTGCCGTATGTTTTCCACCAACTGCTGTATGTCACTGCCAGGAATTCCATCTTCTTCAAACATCTCCTCCAGCACTACTCCACTTCAAGAGAAGCACTTCCAATACAACAAAATCGAGCAAAATCATTCAAGAACCTGTTATACATCAAAACCTGCAAGGAGCCACAGAAGATTACCAGAATATTCCCTAGGAATCAGCATTCTTTCGGGATATTTTGGGGCCTAGTCCTCGAACCCAGGCAAAGGGGCAATGTCACTCTCTCTTTACAGCTGCCCAAGTCCACCTAGAGCTGTTGTAACAAAAAGACCCCCACAAGTCCATCACAAAATTAATCATAAACCCTAAATTCCAACAAATCAAATAATCATCTATAGTTATCCAATCCAATAAATCATGCACACACAAAATCATCAATATTCATCCAATCCAATAAATCATTATCCAATAAAAATATTAGGCATTATCATCAATTAGAGATTTAGGGTTTAAAAATTACTTGAATATGAGCTTTTCCACACCACCAGCTAGAATCACAAAGATCTCCACCTCCTAGAAACACAAAAAACCCCCATTATATAATGACCCAAAAGATTAAATTCCTCAAAAATTAATAAAAGAATGTAGCACAGAGGTTTAAGTACACTAAGAACAATAAATTTATAAAATCAGAGATGGAGAGGGAAGAGAATGAAAACCTGGTGAAGTAAGTCAAGCCCACAAGCCAAATAAATGAGGCTCCAAACGCAGCTTTGAACCTTTTCAGCCATGTTGAGGGTTTGGGGGTGGGGGTGGGAGATTGAGTTGGGAACCTAGTGTAGAAAATATAGAATTTGGGGGTTTTATGAGTTAAGTATCGGGTGGGTTTGGGGGGAGTTGCTGGGCCAGGTTATTTTTTAAACTTCTTGGGTCAAAACGGTTATTTTAAAAACTTCTTGGGTCAAAACGACGTAGTTTTGCCCAGGAAGTTTTAAAAAAAAACAGAACAACACTTCTCTTCTTCTTCCTTACGCAGCTTATTTCTTCCTCAGGAGAAGCATC